TGGCAAGGACGACCTTGGCCTCTTTCACCATTTGCTGTTTACTGGATGCACACGTGCTGAAAATTTCCTTGCTTTTACTTCCAAATGGCTGATTTACCGCTCAATATCAGTGATGAAATCATTTTGTCGGCATTGAAAAACAAGCCATCCTTGATCCAAACCATAATTAAGGAGATCCAGAAATCCACTCCTGTCTCAACGCCACCAACAACTATTACTGCTGTCTCGAGCTCTTCTACGCCATCAAATGCTGCCTCTACGCCATCAACTCCCGTTTTGCCTACGCCATCAAATGCTGTCTCTACGCCATCAACTCCCGTTTCGCCTACGCCATCAAATGCTGTCTCTACGCCATTAATTCCTTTCTCTACGCCATCAACTTCAGTCTCTACGCCATCAACGCCATCAACTTCAGTCTCTACTCCATCAACTCCGGATCCCATGCTCTCGGATGATGACTTAACTAAGTTTAGTTATCCCGTGGAAGACCTATCATCAAAGAGAAAAGGAAAGGCAACGAAAGCACAGCAGACTTTCAGTGTAAGTATTAATAATGTTCTTTTGCATGCATATAGAAGGCGCGAAATCTCGAGAAAAAAAGACTTTAAAGATATTGTTGTAAGCATATAATTGATACCGAAATAAAGCGTGAATCCCGCCGCTTGGGCCTGATGAATATAAGCTTAATTATAAAGCTTTACTGATCGCAATCAGTACACTTGCATTCCCTCTCGCTTGCATTCGTATGCATGTACTATACTCTTGCAAATCTAAAACTTGCAAATCGATTCAAACTTAAGTGTTAGCGGAATTATGGATATCAAAGTGATCTAGGTTAAAACTAGTATCTTCGCGCGCTTTTTATGAATCGATCATTGATTCAAAATGGAGGACTGTACTTGTGATAGTGTAGTAATCTGTGATTCGATCAAAAAACATCGAACCTACAAATCAATTCATTTAGAAATCTTAGATCATTGTAGAAGCAGTAAAAGGGAAATGATCTGATTGTAATAAGTAGATTGTTATTGTATACATGTATCATTGGAGTTTAAGTAACAACAATTAATTTCCTGCGCTTCTATTGTTTGTAAGATTATTTATTTGACATTCCTACTAAACTAAGTGAGAATATGCATGAAATGGTGCTTTCATCTATGTATTATAATTTTATTCTCTATATTGTTGCAGTATGTTTTGAAATCCAGCGCAAAACTTGTTGGGATTTGGGAGGAACCTCCATTGCTGAGCGCCATAACTCCCAAGCAGATGGAAAAATTCTTCAAATGTGTAAGTTGAAGACTGATATGATATGTGCATATATAAATCATAATTTATGAATAAATCTGGAAAAAGATCCCATTATTACTATGAAACATCTATGTTTTTTAATAAATGCCTCATTTTTTCCGAAATATCTAAATATCATAATATCCATATCCATATATTGTCCAAAACACGCGGGTTTGCTAGAATAATTCATTCTTGACATCGAGAAAATATTCAGACCTACGGATAAGTACGTTGCCAAAAAAAAACTACACAACAAAGACAAGGGACTAAGGGCATCGCGCGGGATCATGCACTTGATATTATGATATTTAGATATTTCAACAATTCTCATAATTTTTGCAAAAGGCTGTATATTTATATATATAAAAATGTCTCATAATTTGTGCAAAAGGCTGTATACAGCCTTTTGCAAAAATTATGAG